ATTTTCCAGACAGACTTTTGTTTGGATTATTTTACTTCTAACACAGAAGATAATAGTTAATTTACAGCTTCACAATGAGGTGGGGGAGATCTTGTCAAGGATTGCAGGGAAAGCATGACTGTGCTTACAACATATCTTCCAGCAACCCCAGTCCTCCTTATGAATGGGAACAGTCACATGAAGTGTGATATGAGGCAGATTAGCTGCAACTCAGTGTTTTCTGGAAGCACACTATGTTCATGTCATGTTCTTGAATTTCATTTACAGATAAGCTCTGTGAGTAATTGTAGCATGCAGTTTAAAATTGTAATTTACTTTTGATGTATGGAAACAGAGGAAATTAGACAGAGAGACTCTTTCAAATAACGTTGTATGGTGTTTAAGTTTTGAGTATACGGCTTTCAACAAGCAAAGCTTTTCCTCCACAACTTCTCTTTAAATCTTTTCAGTCTCAAAAAGACTGTAGTTGAAGGTAAGAAGAATAAATTGGTCACCAACGAGCTCTTGAATGAGTGGGTTTTCCCTTAATGTGGCAAGTCTTAATGGTCTTGCAGGCCTGGATGTTATTAATGTTATGCATTATCCTAACGGTCTGAATGCCATTAATATTCTACATTAAGCATCAGTAATTACTATTCAAGTGATATTTAACCTAAAAGCAACATATGAGTACATTCCACCATCCCACCTTTCTCTCACACATCTCTGTCACACGTAAGAAGTGATTAGAAAATGGATTATATGATTCCCTAATTGCTCCTTAAAGAACGTTTCAAAACCCTTGTGATATATCATAAGCAGAGCATTCCCTTCAAGTGTCCTACAGTTCATTTTTCTGCTTAAGGAAGAATTTCCAGATTTAACAAAAGATACTCAGTTTTCACAGGGATGTCGTAAACCAGGGTGATGCTATTCTGCACCCCTGAGAAAATTTTAAGACATCTTCAGTCAACCTATGTGTAAGGAAATCCTCTTAAAAATACTGATCTCCTGCCTTAATAAAAATTGCCCATCAAGCTGGCTCCTCTGGCAAACTAGAAGTATTACGAAACTGTGGAAATAGGAATCTGTTGAAAAAATTCTCAAATGTTTGGGTGGTTTTTTGTTTTGAAAGTTTTTTTTGATGTTTGGTTTTCTTTTTTTTTGGGGGGGGGGGGTGGCAGATGAGGAGAGGGTTTGGTTTGGTTTGGTTCTGGTTTTTAGGAAATCTCAGTTTTAAATACTCAAATTGGCCAGAGATTCCATTTTGGAAGTTCCCTTCCTCACTTCACGCTAAACGTGGTCTGCCTAGAAGAAATCTCCTCCTGCTGCATCCTGTAAATCATTCTTCAATGGATTCATATTTGTTCAGAGCTATGAAAGATAACTATCTCACATTACATCTACAGTTAGCAGCTTTCTCAGTCACAGCAACATTAAAAAAACATAAGGGTCATGATTGGAAATTGCCCACTTAACGATGTTAAGAGCTGTAATTTCACATCATTATAAAGAACTGTTAGGGCAGAGTTGTTTTGCAAGCAGCTAGTTTCCTTTCTGATGGATTTGCTTTGTTTGGGGAAATAAAAATTATCTTTGCATAGAACTCGTGGAAAGATGAATCACTGCACGTATCCCCTCTTGTAGAAAGCAAATGAATATTGCGAAGGCATTTTATTGCATTATTGCTACTCTGTATCATCCCCACCATCTCACAAATATCATTAAAACTGAAGATCAGTCATAATGTGTTTGAGATTTATCATAAAGAGGAGTTATGCCTGTATATTTGCCATGCTCGAGCAGCAGACTAGCCCCTCTGGAACGTGAGTATTTACTAACAAATCCACCTTGCTGGCAGTGAACATTGCAATCAGTTAGCCCTGCATTCGCTTCTTGGCTGCTCTTCAAAGTAAAACTGCTTCTCAGAAAACTTATTTTGGTGAGATGGACTCGCAGGAGCTACCTGTTTCCTGACTATATTTTAGTGACTGATGCTTGCTTTTGTTTGTCACAGGGAAAGACTTGGATAAACACAATGCCTGCAGACTTTGGCAGAAGAGAGAGACAGTGAGAAAACACTTTATTTACCTTGATACTGGTGTTTGAGCAACGCTCTGATACATGGAAGTCATCAGGTGAATCTGAGGCAAGATGAACTTTTGTTTTGAAGGCCTCTGAATTGTCCTTTCAAGGTTTTTTTCAGCTAAACTACTACCCTATGGGCTTAGTCCCAAAACTCACTGGCAGGACTTCACACCTATAAATTCTGGGGGCTTTTTCTCCGAGACTGCTTTAGTGATTCAAGTTGAGATGCTCAGGGATCACTGTATGTATATTCACTTTACTGCAAGGCCACTTTCAAGGGACCACAGTTGGCAGTTCCTTTATTTAAACTCAGAGACACACGTATGTATAAACTTATAATTAATGTCCCTATATTTCTTAAATTTTTAAATATACTTAAGGTTTTCTGTTGCAAAACACCTTCCCTGGCATGTTTTCTTTCCTGGGTCCTGCCACTGTGTCCTCTTTAAGTGTTTTGTCCTGGCTCAGTCTTGCACATCCTATTAAAAGATCAATGGACCTGATCAGGTGTACCTGCAGCTTCTTGGCAAAAGGGACAAAATGTAAAGCAATGAGACAGAAAAATAACAGTACATACTACTTATATATGACATTTTTCCTTTGCATCCATCTTATAGTATAGAACTAGTGCTTCCCAAGTACCTGATTCCACTAAACATGACATTCAATACTTTAAATTAAAAGCATGCATTCATACCTGCATGTTTTGTAAATCACATCAGTGTAATTTATTCCTGAATGAATGCTATGAAATAAAAATTCATTATATATTTACATGAAGACAACGAAAATTTCTTGAGAAATTATCCATAAAGACACTTAAAAATTAAAAATTTAAAATTATCTAACTAAAATCTTAAAGAATACAGGAAAGATCTGTGAGTTAAAGGTAATTTTGAGAAATCTTTTATCAATCTTGAAGATTTTCTTTCATAAATAAGACATATTCCAGTAGGAGTAGAGATACAAAGATAAGAAACCCTTTGCATTCCTTTGTGTCAGTTCCTTTATTTTACAGGTATGTACTGCTTCCTTGTTCCACGATTGTGAATTGTAAAAAAATCCTGAGCATCTCTCTGGTCAAAAGGCTCAATTAAAGTCGTTTTGGTTTGGTGGTTTGTTTTGGGTTTTTTTGTTTGTTTTCATGGGTTTTGTTTGCTTGGATTTTTGTTTGGTTTGGGGTTTCTGTTTTGGTTTTGTTTGTGTTTTGTTTTGTTTTGTTTTTTTAAACTTTGTTTCCAAAGGAAATTTCACTAAGAAAAGGTAAAAATAATGATTTAGAGGAATTTTGCTGGTCAAAATGAGAAAAAAAAGATGCCAAGCCTGAATCAGAACATTCCCTACACAAATCAGATTCCTGCCTCCAAGCTACAGATTATCTTTCCGTGTGGGAGATGTAGCTCTCACATGAAATAACACTTTTCTCTCTTGGGTGTAGAGTCTTACATTATTGCTGACCACAATTTTTCTTCCAGATCTTGCTGTGCTGAGTGAAGACATCAGCCTGCAGCCTGCCCACCATGGTTTATCATTTCTCCCTGCTACAGGTTAGTGTCTTTATCAGCTAGCAGCCTCACTGAAACATTTTCAGGTCCAGGCCAAGCAAGATGCTTTAGAGTTGCAAACATATTCTATTTAAACTTAACTTCAGTCATTTTGACTGACACTATTTTGGAAGCAGCAGTACAAGTAGCTGAGTAGGAGGTTGGGAGGGGTTGGTGGGATTGAATAAGAAGATGGCAACACTGGATCATCTTCAGCTGTGAATTTCTAGTCCTAGAATGGATGATGCTGTATCACCTCAGGTACAAGGGTGAGTAGCAATGTGTGGTCCTTTGTATTTGCCTTAAAGTAGGTTATAGAGTGCCTGCCTTTTCTTTAAAAATTCTGCACTTATTTATATTGAAATGAAAACCCACGTTTGAAGACTACTGGTTAGGAGGGGTAGAAAAAATGACATTAAACTACTAGTCTCCTACTACAAAACAGAATACTTAAGAAAGAAGAAATACAGGAACATTTGTTTAATTTCCCAACTGAAACACAAATATATTTACCCTCCTGTGTTATCAGGGGAATCTTATAATGTGATACATCAAGGTGGGTAGCTGTTCCAAAATTGATTTTTTCCTTTGCTTTAACAATATATTTGTCCAATAAACATTGTCAAGAATATTAATTAGAGCAAATAACATGGAGAATTGGTTAACAGATACAGAACCATTAGTAAGTGACTTAACTTTGTTACTGCTTGTAGGGACTTAGGAGACAGTGAAAGTGACTCATTACAATGGGAAACCTCCCAGAAAGAGAGCTCAACCTGTGTATGATACAAATAATAGCTATAAAACTGGAGAGAAATTTTACTTTTAGAAATATATTTTAAGCCCAAATAAACCAACTAAAGTGTTTGTTTTTTTTTTTTTTTTCTCTTATTAAACACTACAATAAAAAGACCAAAGGAAACAGTTCCCATAGGTGGAAGCAGAATCAGACAGCATATTTATATGCAGGTTCATTCCCTGAAAAGAGTACATAAATTTCTGGCAGAAAAGAGATTATTATGGAAAAAGAAAAACAAGGAACAACATCCTTACAAGCATTTCTGCTCAAAGAACTATTCCTTACACTTGTTCTGTACAGATGTGTCCGTCTATAAGTATCATTCTGTGTTGTAAATCTGATAAGTGACCTAAAGCAACAATGGTTAACATCTGTTTTGTGGCCGTGGTAACACTTTGACAGTGTTAAATCAATTGTGTTAAAGTAAAAAAAAAATAAAAAAAATTCTACTTGTTTCCTGTTTTTGAAGGGAGAGAAAGGATTAAAGGACCAGGGTTTTTTATAACAATGCTCAGGACAAATAATCTCACCTAACCTTACAGTTATTGTTGTGGGAGCAATAAATTTGTCTCTTTCCACTCTTTTAAGGGCTCATGTGTTATCCATGAAAGTCAGTGGAAGGTTATCAAGACTTACAGGAATAATTTACCACAGCTAAACATCTGCTTTGTCTTCAGAGATATGTAAGTAATCAGTCATCTTTGAGTTTTGTGATATGTTATATAATACTAAATATACATTAATAAGAATTATGTAGGTATAGACTTTTTTCTTTATAAAGTTATATAGAAATATGTTTTAAATTTTTACATAATAATTTGGCCTGCAATTTTTTCGTTGGTATGAAGAAAGGGTCTTCTGTGTTATTTTTAAATTATTATATAAGAAGAATTATGTAAGGGATTATTTTTATGACAAAATATAGGTGTATAGTATATGATCTTAAGGTTTGTATGAAAACGACAACAAGTATTATTATAAAGTTTTAATTATTTTTTACAATATTTTCTGGAAAAACATTGTCTCCTTCACACTTCTTAAATAACAAGGAATTTTTCCAGAAATAAAAAAAATTAAATTAGAGTGTTGAGGGTGGAAGCCGTGCAGACACTGGATTATCTAACACAAAAATATGTACTTTGAATCCTGAGCAATGTAGTGATTTCATTATTTCCCATCACTTAAAGTACTTCAAGACAATGACATTTGCAGTGTAAGGTACTTAGAAGAAAAAACAGACAAGACCGTTTATAAATCTACTCACATTTAAAGAATTAATCTTTGTGTTTCTAACTTTTTAGAGGTAAAGATGACAACATACATGCAAACAGACTTTAACCTACTATCATAACTTTTTATGAGAAATTACATGTAATGGTGCTTCAGGAAAGGTTCATTCTGTGGGTAACATAATGGTCCACAATTCCCTCCCTAATATTCCAGCCCATCTGGTAGAGAAGTTACTGCCTCCTATTAAAGTTATTGGAGTTTTCAGAATAAGTTCTTTGGTCACAGAAATCATCAGACAGAAGTTTAGTCCATTATGCAAAATAGGTATTAAGACTAGTAATTGATTGTCTATATTATTGCCTTGATTTGCTGAATTAACACATTTGTGTGAATTTAGAGACTTTGGATGGGTTTTAGATCAGACACTCTGCAATCAAGTGAGCAAAAATTTGGTAACATAGGCTAGAGACAGGCACGGTTATATAAAGGCAATAAATACAACTTTGCAAATGTGCCTCAAGCCTTCCTTAACATAATCTCATGTAGCATTCCAAATGTGTATTATGTTGTGTTCTCCTGATTTTATGACTATTGTGAAGCAATTTCTTTTAAGTAATCATTAGTTATAAGTAAAAGGTTCAGATGAATTCCTATTTCCCTTTACTCATGAGTTCCACTGATTTTCTGTAATTCTCAAAAGCATCCTCGCAAAGTGACGTAGGTGAAAATTTGGGAGAAAATATACATCAAGGATTGCCCCAGTGATGCTTCAAAATAAACAAAGGGAAAAAAACACAATAATTTTGGAGGCAGATATTGAAATATTCCTGCAATATTAGATCTGTGTAAGACTGCCACAAAGTGGGGGACTCTGTTTACTTTATTTAACTTTGTTTTCGAAGTGGAGCACAAAAGCCCAGAACTGCATAATATCTGTGGACTGAGGAAAGATGTGCCATAAAAATGTGGGAGCAAGAGCAAAAAAACCCAACTACCACCACTTGAGTAGGACCCTCATAACGCCAAGGAAACTGGGGAATAAAAAGGAGATCAGGGCAAGCCTTTCATAACTCTTTGTCTGGTGGTTTATTCTACCAAAATGCTACCTGAAATATAAGGCTGGAAGATGAGTGTTTTCTTAATATTATGTTGCTGAAATATACCTTATATTTGATAGTTAGCCTCAAAATGCTGTAGGATGGGGTTTTTTTTCCCCTTCAATAAATGTATTTGGGGCTGTAAATGCATTTGCAAGACCTGATATATGTATAAAACTCTTTCTGTAACGAAGAAACAAGTGTGTATCACTGTATTTTCTCATTACCTCTGTAAAGAGGCACTCCATTTTTTTTTTCATTTTCTCAGTCAGTAAAAATGAGAGAAAAAACCTGAACTGAATGACCTAGCAGGTGATGCAGGAATCTGTTATTTTAGTTGTATACACGCTGGTGGTGTATAAATTGGACCTATTAAAAAAAAAAAAAAAAAAGAATAAAAAAGAAAGCACAACCAAATGAAAATCCCCCAGTAAGCTAAAATTCTTGTGTCTCTTTAGGGGAAAAAAAACCCAGTAATTGATGTGAGGAAAATCAATCTCTCAAGTTATTCTATTTTCCTAATTATAGTAACTAGGGACCAGAAGTTGTATTATATAATTAATTAGATGGAAGGTAAGTTTGTGGATGAAGGAATTGCCTGGCTTAACATAACTTAAAAATAATAGAAGCCAAAATTCTCATAAATTAAGTATATGCAAGGCAGTGAGTCTTCCCTTTTTCAACTGATTTGCAGTCAAAGAAACGAATGAAAATAATCACTTTTGTTCTATGGCATTTGTTCAGGCTACACTTAGAAAGATATTTTCCTCTTAGAAACTGAACTTCTTCCTCAAACATAACAAAAAATTCTACTTTGACCTGTTGGGATTTGATCTTCAACCCCTTCAGTTATATAATCCCACGCAAGCATTTTTTAACAAAAATGTAAAATTTTTGCTCGCTCTTTTCCAGGAGGTGTTAATACCTGCAGTCTGGGAATAGTATTTGTTCTTCTATGACACCTTTGAACTGACAAGTCCAAACTCCTCTTAAACTTTAAACTGCAGAAAAAATTTTGCAAAGCAGAGAAGGTATGTAACTTCACTTTGAACCAGTGCTGAGCAGCAGTTATTTAATTAAGGCATTGAAGTAGAATACCACATTCAGTTTGAAACTTGGCTGTGAATTTGGCTAGGCAGACTGCAAGTATGAAGTCTGGAGGCACAAGAAGTCTCTAGGCTGAGAAACTCATAAAGAAATAAAGGGGTTCTATGCCTCAATTTTGGGATCTCTGAGGTATATTAAAAGAACTTGACTTTTAGAAGACCAGCAACTAGAATCCTCTGCAAGAAATCAGATCCCATTATGGCTTTTCGCACAGAGCATGGAAAATTAAGGCATCCAGATTCCATAATTACATGTGAAGTTTTTTATCAATGTCCTTGGTCTGATGAAAAGCCAGATGGTATCAGTAGGTGAGTTGGCAGACTTCAAACCCTTGGAAAAAAAGGCAGGCATAAAGAAGTTATACAGGGACTTCAAAAGAAACACATTAAACATGGAAATTATGAGCAGTTAAATAATTCTACAAGTTGTATAATCTTAACTACCTCAAAAGATGATGTCCTCATATAGCCCCCAAACCTGTTTAAAAGAAAAACTCCATGCTAGAACAGGGATGTCTATGGATTCAGTGCATGGTCTCTGGCACTGTGGATATTTCTCTTTATGTACCAGCACATTCCAGTTTATTTGGCCTGAAGAGTGGTTCCCCAGTAATGGCTGATTTTAGAATAGTCTGCTATTTCAGCTGATAGCTGCTATTTAGATGCAAGATTGAAGTTGCAGCAGTATGCTAATACACAAAAATACACGAATTAGAGAAGTGTCCTGATTACCTATAATTTCCATACGTGTTATCTAAAGAGAACAAATGAATGCATCCTTCCATTCTGAATAAATATTTCTGGTTTAGAGAAGGGTGACCAGTCTTCTAAGCCTATATTTAGGGAATGCATTTGTACCGAGGTACAGATGGTTATTGAAATTTGCTTAAGTAACAAGTTTCACAAGTAATGTTTGTGAGCATTGCTTAGATGTTTAGGGGGTTTTCTGTGTCTTTCTCTTCAGAGATATTGCCTATATATATCTGAACTTTAGCTTTGAAAATTGTAAGAAAAAATATTGTTTAAAAATAATAGCAATAATACGGGACAGTTTTCAAATGCTGGCTGGTACAAAGGAAATGCCTGCAAATGAAAATTGCTTGAACATGTGTGAGGAGAGGAACTCTAGGTATGGAAGTACAATTGAATGATGTTTGCACAAGCCAGTCAAATAAAAAAATGAAATTGCAGCAGATAAAGCCTATCATTATGATTCACTTAGAGGTTCTGTGCAGTGTCATCATTTTGTTACTATCTGAATCCCACATTTTCTGTTTGTGCAGCTAGACAAATATGGAACTGACCCCCAGCTATGCAAAGTGGTGTTGCAGATCCTCTTCCATACAAACCTAAGATTTTATAGGAGACAAAACTGCCTTTTATGGTTAATTTATATACTCTGTGTTTCTTTAAAATCTTTCCTTACAAAGGAATATTCATGCAATATTCTCTCTTTTCAAGGCTAACAATAATATAAAATTAAGTCAGCGAAGGTGCGTGATTTGACTTCAGCCAGACAAGCATAAATTCAGTAAGTACCAATGATCTACCTGAATATACCTTATTGATACCTACTTCACATTTTTGTGGCATTCTTAGCAGTATAACAACTCTGTGCACATGCATTATTTCTGAATATAAAATAAATAAAATTTAGGGGGAGATTTTGTTCGTATGAATACATATACTCCTTTTATTAATGGCCACGTTGTGATGTATTGTAGATACCTATCTTCTATTTTTACAGAAAGTGCACTTTCAGCTTCTAAATCCTAAATTAAACTGCCGTAGACTAATAAAAAAAAAGAAATAAAGTCTACTGAAATAAATTGCCTCTGAAATAGATTTAAACTATGTGAGAATTATCAGCCTCTTACATCTAGTGTGGAAGGCAAAATATGAAGGAACTATTAAATTCATATCTCAGCGATTACAAAACAGTATTTCTACATCTGCGGTACCTGAGATTACAGCAGTCTGTAAAACCAAGGAATCTCTAATGATAACTAAGGGAAGTAGCAAACAGATTAAGGACCTGATTGCTTACCAGAGGGGCTTCATACATGTTCCCCCAAGTCCTCACTGGAACCAAGGCTGGCAGGAGCTGGTCTTCAAGAAATATAACAGATAAACTCAGCATATATCAGGTGTAGGTATGTTTGAAAGGACGTAGAAAGGTAGGAAGGGAAGGGAGGACGTGAAGAAAACCATGTGGGCTGACAATCTCCTAGGCAGGCTGACTAAACTTCAAAGTGGAAACTAATGCAAAATAATGACAAAAAACCCCATAGAAACAGTGTTTTTCTTACCTATTAACAAGTACCAGGTTTGTTTAGAAAACATGCATTCCAAGCGAAAATTAGAAACAAATAATTTATATGTGGAAAATCTACTAAATATGAGAATAGCCTTTTAAAAGAGAACTGCCAAATTACTGAAGGACTAGAAAACAAGTGCATAGGATTCTAATGAGACATATGGAAAAAATTCAACATCATAAAAAGACAATATTAAAGTAAGACTTTATTATTCCAAGACTTGTCTTGGAAGCACAGTAAGCTGCAATACATTTACACTGAATATATGATTCTCAGCAAAATCTAGACTAGTGTTCCTCTCCACCTCTACTTATGTTGCTGATGCTCAGCTGGCAGTCTCTCAGCCCAGCTAATACTTATGTGGGAAGAGAAGTGGACAATCATTAGATACTCCTTAATCACACATTAATGGCCTGTAACAGACATGTCTAGATTGGAGACATGGATTTGAAGAGTAGACTGTTCAGTGGGTAAGGAGCTGGCTGCATGGACACAACCAGAGACTTCTGGTCAATTGCTCCAGGTGGAGGCAGGTTGTGAGTGCTGTTCCTCCAGTACCTGCCTTCCAGTACCTGAAGGAGGTTTATAAAAAAGACAGAGATTGACTTTTTACATAAATATGTAGTGTCAGGACAAGGGGGAACAATTTTAAGCTAAAAGAGGAGATATTCAGAACAGATGTTAAGAAGAAATTCATTACTGTGAGGGTGGCGAGGACCCTTCCAACCCAAACCATTCTATTATTCCATAATTATTTCAGAATGCATGGTTTTTATTTGCCTGCAATTTCTCAGAATAACAGCAATCTGAGCTGCAAATGCAATTTCCAACAACAACAACAGCAACAACAAAGGGTGTTGTCTCCTAACTCATTGGTTCAGAACTGTTTTGCTTGAAACATGATATAGTGAAATAAACTGGCAAATATGAGGCTTATAAGCAGATCCTTGGTGCCATAATCCAGGTTTTTAATAGGTGAAAGAATTACAATTCATCTGCTTTGCAGTAGATGACTGCTATTGCTGAGAAAAAACACGCAGATCTCCTTTCTGATGATAGTAGATATTATCTGTTACACATTCCTTTTATAAAAAGACAATACAAAGAAAAATTCAAACCTCTTTTGAAATTCACAGAGTGGAAAGACAGCAGCATTTATATTTTCAGGCACAGTTAACAAGGCAAATACAAAATCCTCCACTAAATTGTGCATGTGCCATAGCATTTGCAAGTGCATTTCCTATCTTTCCATTATTATCTTTGCTGGAAGTGCAAGTGTTGCAAATATAATTGCCATAATTAATTCAACAGTGTTAAATAAGCATATAAACATTTTAAAATATTATATTAATAGTTATCTCATCCTTTCTGTTATTTTTATAATATCAGTATTATCAGTATTTATAAATAACTTATAATAGTATAAATATATAAACCTAGTACTTTTATCTTTGAAGTGGGAGCTTTTATTAATTCACTTTCCTGCCTCCTTTTTTTAATCGCTGTTTTTCTGAATTAAGAAGATGGGTTGGCAAAGGTACAATTAGAAACTGGTAAAGGCTGCAACCTGAGGTCCAGTGCTGGAAGACATGGGCATTTACTCAAACATCTGTGGCAGGAATACTCAGATGTAACACTGATGTTACTCCCATTTCAGAAAGTCTGACCATGACTGAAGTGTTTGCCTATGGATCTAATGCTCATTAAACTCCAATGACATCTCCTCGTGGTCATTCAGGGTATGTCTAGACTAAAAACTAAAAACAAGTTGCATTGCCATCAAGGTGCAAAACCAGTTCTTCTTGCAAACAGAAAGGCCTAAAAGCTGAAGGTATAATAATATAATATAACTGGACTTTGAAGTTCCACCCAGATTCAGAAGAGATGGGTTTTGTAAGGGCTTCTGTAAGTCTTCTCATAAAAAGAAAAGAACTTTAAAAAGCCTGTTTAAATTTGCTGTGGGAGCAAAAATTAAAAAGAAAAAATGGCTATTCTCACTTGTTGATTTTTTTTTTCCAGGCTGAAGAGTTAAAGCAGATAATTCAGGCTGGTTAAAAATTCATTTACATATAATTACCTTGAACAACCCTGCTCTCAGTGGTGCAAGGTTGTTATCTGGCATATGTGAAATGAAATTCAAATCCCTGATCTGTCCAACTTATCATACACTGAAAAACTGTACTCTAAATTTAAACCCTTTCAACAGAACCATTGCATAATTGAGTTTGTAGGGGTCCACTGGAGGTCATTTTTCTCAATCCCCCTCCACAGAGCATGGCCAACTTCAAATTTAGATCCAACACTGAAGTTAGAGAGAGTGGTCAAAGCCTTGCCCAGTTGAGTTGTGAAAACCTCCAAGGGCGGTGATTCTCTGGCCAGCCTGTTCCACTGCTCTGCCAGAGTTCAAAAGGAGAATTGTCTTTTTATACAATGTCACTGCATACCTGGGCCTGTTGCTCTTTTGCTGTGCACCCCTGGGAAGAGTCTGGCTCTATCTTCTCCAGGACAGCCGTCCCTTGGGTGGTGAGAGGCTGCAGAGATACTCCATTACCTTTTCCTTCCTCACACGAAATCAGCATTTCCATGATGTGCTCCAGAGCCATTGCTGTGGGTTTTGTCTGCACAAAAGGCCCTCTCCTACCCAAAACACTCTGTGATTCTGTGATCTCTCTTCAGTGAGGTTGCTAAGGCACAGTCTGTCCCACTGGCCAGATTGCTCTTGAATAACCAAAAACCTGTTTCCAGAAACAGGTATGTTTATAGAAAATATACAAAAGGCAAAACCTAACAGCAACACAACAAAACAAACAAGGAAAACCCCAGCCCAGGCTCATTCATTAATGATCTGGAAGAAAAGAGGGTTTTTTAGAAAAAGTTCAAGGTGCTTCAGTTTTATGGAATTTTTAAATATGCCACCTTTCCAGACTCTGGAAAAATAATACCTCTCAGAGGAAAAGTCACTCTAAACTGTTTGATTTAATCTTTACTCCATAAGAATTTTCTTTTTTTTCCCAAACAATAGCTAGCAGCTCTTACCTAACCTCCCAGAACAACGTTATCCAGATCCAGACTATTTGGGATTCAAAAAGAGTTTTACAAAGGATACCATTTGTCTGAGCTTTTTCGAACTCCAGAAATCAATTGAACTGAATTGAATTGAATCTTTGGTGTATTCTGTGCACATTAGTTCAGAAAAGCACATGCTGCAGAAAGCTTAGTGTATGCAAGTTTGTTATGAATACATTTTTAAGCTATCTTGTTTATTTAGGTTTTTAATCACAAGGTTACTCATGAGGAATCCTGCATTTCCTCACCACTGTTGCTCCCAGACAAAGAATAGAACCATGGCATTTATGTGTACTAGAAAAAATGAAGCCTGAGGAAATGGCCTCTAGTCAGTAGTTTGAAAGTAAATTGAGAGTAAAGACTACTTTGAAGCAAAAGTATTAAGTGATGACCCACCCCTGAAGATATGGAAGGTATAACTAAGTGAATATAGGATAAGTAATAACAGAGGTCATGTTGCCAAATTAAAGTCTTAAAGCACTTACTTTTCCATACTGCCTCTATTACCAGTTATATACACTTAGGGCTGAAGAAAGCGGGTCTGCACCTTTATTTTCCTTCCCTTGTGACTCCATGGGCTATGCCAGCACCTGTGGGTAATCTGTCTGCATTGCCTATTAGTGAGGAAAATGGACAAAATCAAACAAACTGTGACTCGTGACATGTAACTCACATATATTCCATGCAGTGCAGCCTCCATACTATATTTTATGCTGACAGCTTATGTAGACATCTTGTTGCCTGTATATGATGGCAATAAATCCTGTGAATCGAAATAGATTTGAATTAATGTTTTCCAATTGTTTCCACCACAAGTTGGGGGATTACACTGATGCAAAATCATCCAGCTATAACATGGATAAATATCTATGTTACACTGAATATGTGTGTGTATTAGTACTGAAAGTAGAGGAAAAATGGGAACAGAGACCATTGGTCAACACCTAAATTACATTTTAAGGAATCTACTCTATTTTCTTCCATCCAATTCATTTTTTCTGTCAGAATCCCTAATGTTTCCTTTCAAGGGGACACAGAATAAGACAGATGCCCAGAATATATGGATGAAAGAACTGGTTTCATAAGCAGCAAGAGCCCAGAAACACCTCTTGAATTTTTTCTTTCATTCCTGCACTTGTGAATCCATT